GAAAAGACACCAATTTGGGTGCTTGGGCCTCTCTAGCTAGAGAAGACATACGATGAATGGTAGACAACTTTTGGAATTTTTCAAGCTCTAAGGCCTTATGGCAAACCTCTTCTATGCTGTAAGGATAATATAGATTCAATTCCCTTTTCAACTCAGGTCTTAAACCATTAATGAACTTGGTGAGAGTTGCCCATTATTATTCCCTTATATTACATTTCATAGACAAATCCTTAAATCGGTTAAGGTAATCGATCACACTCAACGATCCTTGTTTCAAATTCATCCATTACTCTAATAACTGCCTTTTATAATATGTAGGAATATATTTTTCCTTCAATTTAGCTTTTATTTCAGCCTACAAAGCGATGGGTGCCTCACCTAGACACTCAATGTCCCGTTGCACCCCTTACTAGTAATGCTTGGTAGACCCTACTAGCTTTATCTTGGTAAAGAGAACATGCTGGGTATCAAACATGTTATACTAATCAAAGTAATCTTCCATATTTGCTAGCCAATCAAGGAAAGCATTAGGGTTTGACCTACCATCATAACTAGAAATGTCTACTTTTGACCTTCTTTGTGATTTTATCATTGTTAGGGAAATTTCTTCGATCATCTTGGGCCTAACATTAACGTGGAGAGAATTTATCCTAATGTCTATCGTGATACTATCTATGTCTAGGATAATCCTCAAAGTCGCATTCTAGAAATTCATCGTCATCAGCTAATTCTTGTGGGAGTTGGAGAATGCCCAGTTGTTGAGCACTAGGACCTAGGGGATGACCATTTCTATAATTATTTCCTATGGTAGACTCTTGGGGATCATTCTTTGAATCTTCAATAAGATGCTTGCCCGTGGACATAGATGTTTGTTTCATTAATTCAGTCATAAAATCTTTAAGGGTATTTATATCTGAACTAAGGGTTTGTATCTTCTCTTCGAAAATTTCTTTTGTTTCTTCTTGGGCTTTGGTCAAGGTTTCTTAGCTCTTGGACAAGGCTTCTACCCTAGTAGAAATTCAACATTGGTAATGATAGGGTATTAATGAAAGGTTAATGGGATAAAAGTATAAGAATGCAATGCCAATACAGATAAAATATCACAAATAAGTAATCAAAATTCTAAACTAAAATATCACAAATAAGTAATCTAAAATTCCGAAAAGAAACTATGTTATGCTCATGCAATAATATAGGTGTGAGATATATGTAGGAAATAAGAAACAAGAGGCTTGTTTTTTTTTAATGAAAAATTGCCAAGGACTTGATAACATTTACTCAATAGATTAATGAATTAATCCAAAGCTCAAATAGAGGAGATATCTTGAAGTGCCTAAATTACCTTCCTATTCAACTTTGATGGTTTTTCTGGAATTCTGGCTATAACTAAATGCAGGATTCTTTGGACTGGTGACCTCTAATTTCTAGATTCAGCTATAGCAAACACTTTTGTGGTTTTGGTGAAGGAACACATGCTATTGGCTAATAGCAGTGTTGAAGACAAAGGCTTTGGGCTTCATAATCTGATGTAACTTTGATTCAATTTGTAGAGATTGAAGACATCTTTCCAATGTTGTTTGAAGCTTTGTTTCAACCCAAGAAGTGGTTGTTTCATCTGCTGCTACACTGGGTTCTTTACTTAGAATTAGCTACTAGTTGGAATAGAAAAATAGGAGAGAGAGATGTTGTTGCAGAGGCGTTTTTAGCTTGGTTGCAGAAATAGAGAAAATAAAGGAAATAAAGGGAAGAAGAAGGAAAGAAGGAGAGAGGGGAAAGTAAAGAAAGAAAGAAAATAACCAAGGGGATAGGAACGGTTAAGGGTGGATTTGAGCCGAATACCTAGCTATTTAAGCTCAACTTACCAAAACAATGTTAGGCTCGAGCTTGAATTCAGCTTGGCTCAAAAGCTTGCAAGTTTGAGCTTGACTACAAGCCAAGTTTCCTATAAAAAATAAAAATTATTTATTATTATACATAAAAATGAAAATATTATATTATATATAAATATTACTATACATATAATAAAAATTATGTATTTATGTATGTATGTATGTATGTAAGCATTAGGCTCGATTAGGCTCGCGAGCTAGATGAGTCGAGCTTCATTGGTCTCAAGCTCAGCTTGATTAGCAAATGATCCTATATATTGGGATTGAGATCAGCTCAATGCTCAATTTAAACCGAGCCAAATCAAGCTTTTCTTGAGCCAAGCTTTTCTTGAGCCAAGCTTGAATAGATCGTGAAAAGATTAATTTGTTTCCACCCCTAGGAATGGTGCAGAATATTTGTAACATCAAGAAAGTGAAGAGGGAAAGTGGGGAATAGGAATGGAAGAAGAGGAAGAAGAAAAAAGAAGAGAGAGGAAAAGAGAAATAAAAAAAAGAAAAAGGAAGGGAAAGTTGGGAGAGAAAGAGGCAATGGGAAAAGAGAAAGTGGAACAATAGGAGAGAGAAGGAGAGTGGGTGAGAGATGGCTACTGTTAAGGTTCTTTGGCTGAAAACATAATTGAGGAAGAAGGAGAAAGGGAAAAGAAAGAAAGGAGAAGCAAACCAAAAAGAAACAGAGAGAGAGAGGCGATTGCTGTTGTAGGGTTCAGATGTAGATTGGAGAGAAGAAGAAGAAGAAGAAGAAGAAGAGGAGGAGGAGGAGGAGGAGAAAAGGAAGACAGAGAAGGAGAGACACATCTAACCTTTGTTCAGTCGGTGGAAAGAGACAAAGATTGCAGATTAAGTTGTAGTTGCTTTGGTTCAATGGTGGAGCTAGACAAAAATGTGGGACTGAACCTTAGCTCTGATACCAAATTGATGGAGCACCTATTAGAGGAAAAGAAGAAAGAAAGAAATGGGGGAAAGTAGAGAGGGAGGAGACAACTCGAAGAAGGAAAAGAAGTCCAAAGTTTCTATTCTTCAAAACATAACATAATACAGCCCTAACATAATATGAATTTATAAGAAACCTAGAAACTAAAAATTAAAATTAAACCCCTACTAAAAATGAAAATTACACTTATATCCCTACCAAATATAAAAATTACAAACAACTACCTTACTAGGAAGAAATTTTACAGTTAAACCAAATTTTGCATTAATCAGAGTAAACTCTAAACTAATGCCATCTATGCCTAAAATAAGTACGAATTCTCTTTGGTGCTTCAGTCTCAAATTGATCTCCTTCACATTCCAATAAATTTTCTCCATAATAAACACCTTCACAAAATTTGTGAAAAATTCAAACTCGCTTTTATTTCTTTCATTATTTTTTGGTAAAAGCTCTAGACTTTTCAAAATTCCTATATTTTCACTCTCCTATCTTATGGTTTGCAACAATTTGGCCCAAAGCCTTTCCAATTCTTAAAAATCCCTACCTTTAGTCCTAAAGTTATCTTTAAACCCTTTACATGTCATTGTTACCCTCCTAGGCTTACCTTTGGATCATAGAGGTCCTACATTACCAATGCTCATGCTAAACCAGTTGCTACCCTGAGAGCTTGCAGCTTGGTTTTGGAGCTCCCTATGTGATGCATGGGGGGAATCCCTGCACTTTGTGTAAGAAAAGAAGCATCATCAGATTTAGCAACACTCAGAAAGAGCCCAATGATGAACTTACACAGGACCATCACAACCTATTTTAGTCCAGCCTGCATCTGGTAGAGATCATCTTGCAATGAGTGGAAAAATACAATATGAAACCTATGCAAGAGACATTCTGGTTTGCTTGATTTTCACTAGATCCAGTGTGATGGATACAAACCCTGTAACCCCAACTCAAGAAGTAGCAGAGTAATGTATTGTACCCAAAAAAAAAAAGAAGCATCATTTCTAGTATGCCAAATAGAATGTATTGCAGTAGAAAAAGCATTTAAGCATCACCTTGTCTTTAGTATTTTTCCTAAATTTATGTTAGTGATGTGTTGAGCATGTAATTGTATTCTTCATATCTTCATTAGTTTGACTTAGTCTAACCGGGAAGCTACATCTCTGTCAAGACTTCATGTTGTATAGTCACTCTCTAAATTGCTCCAGTAGTTAATTGGAGTCATGCATACCACCCATTTAACAAAAAAAAGATATTCCTCTTCCCATTTTCTAGTTGTCAATTCTGAATAAATGTATGCCACATTGGTCTTCTTTCTTGCTCCAATTGATATTTGTGGCAGTATACCACCTGATCACTGTCCTGATGCGAGGTATTCATTACATGACAAGCGCATATCCATACTTCCAGTGAACTACATGAGCAGATTTTTGTTGTGTTGTGGAGATTGATCTTTGAGGTACATGCTAGGAATGATTTGTCTTTCCTAGCTGTAACTTTTATCAAAATAATGAACTTAATTATGATCATAAAATGTTTGCTATATTCCTTCTTTTATCGGAGACTCTGGCTTTTCAGTTCAGTGAATTTCAGTTTACCCAAAAAAAAAAGGAATTAATCCTAGAGATTAATGGTAATATTTTCAGAGGTTTTATTATTTCAAATTCCTTTTAAATAAGTCTGTTACGTTGGTCTTTTGACTCTGTTCTACACTGTTTAAAATCCAGTCCTCTGTGAAAACTTGCTAAATCTGAAGGGTGCATTTGAACCCATCTCTCAAAGAGCATGTGGGTGCACCCAAAAGCTGTGAACGGGGCAAGTTAGAGGTGATGTGATGCATGGTAAGTTGTTTTGAATAGGAATGGCCTCTTTAGAAGAGAGTACCTTTTTAACTGTTATTTCTCCATTTTGCACCTTCAGTAATCTTTTGTTCTCTGTGGATGCCTAAGCTGGACAAGGGTGGTTTCTACCAAATTAAGAAGAACAGCATATGTTAAAAATACAAGTACAAAATCAGGGGTACGTCAGTAAACAATCTGGGGCCTCATCAAACCATGAGGTTTCTACCATAATTCCATAAAGTCTTTAGCTTGTTTAATGAAACTGAACATCTATAAAACTATTACTATGATCCAGAGTCTCATCCAAAATGTAGTGAAGCAGCTGGAGTTTCTTGTGGTTCCAATTGAGAGCACTAGTATAGCCTAACATCCTGGATTTCTGATTTGGCAACCCGTGGTTTAATCTACACACAACCACAAGATGGTTCAGGAACTTTCACCTTTTAACAAGGCTTCCCCCTTGGTTTACCTTCAAAAGAGATTATATCACTGTTGGGGAGACTACACTACACCAATGCTTATACGCTATCTTCATTCATCAACTACAACTCTTCCTCGATTGGTTTATAGTTGTACAACTCTTACGGATTTACATGCAATCTGCAAAACAAAACAGATGCATCTACCTAGCCGGATTCGTCGAATTTAACTTACCCTACAAAGGATGAGAAGCACTACTTTCATCAGGCTTTCCCTTGGAAATACTGGTCAAAATCTCCATATACCATGAGGGCTACTACAACTTCCGAAAGTCAAGAAGAAGCTGAATATGTTCTCGGCCGCCAATCAGATTTCTGGGCACTAAGGATTCCTTCTTGATCTTTTGAAAAGATTAAGCGAACTTCCCAGTGGAGGGATTTCAATATGTTCTCAACTTCGCCCACAATGCTGGACTTATCGCGGACAATCAGTTTACCTCCTGGCTTGACTATCCTATCGATCTCTGCCATCACAGGCACAACCTTGCACCTTTGAAATCCAAATCAGTTAAAACATGGTAATGAGAAGGAGAAGAAGAAGAAGAAAACGATACAATAATTTAATGGCAGCAAGTAGAAGACAGAATCCTACCTTTTCTTCAGCCTGGAGAAGAGGTGATCAGCATGCAAGAGATCATAGCTTCTGGGGTAAGTGCTGAAAGATTCACACCAATCATGATATATCCCAAAAAGACCGCGCTCATAGATGATGGGAAGTGTATCTGGGGAATCTATGGTCACAACATTCATCACCCACAGTTTTAGGTCCTTCAGTGCAGCTGCAAACCTGAAGTGCAAAATATGAACATATCATCTTTCCATCAGTTCTAATTTAAGTAATTAGGGTCTGTTTGATCACAGTCGGAATCAAAATGGTCTATTCCTGTTTGGTTCAGACAAGAATCGGAATGAAAATTGGAATCAGAAGAAATGGGATTTCATTTCAAGGGAGGGAATTAGGGAAATGCCATTCCACTAGGAATAGGCATGGGATTCTGATTCTGCTCAACCAAATAGTCAAAATTAGAATGATTCATCCCAATTTCTATTCCAATCCCCAATTCCTTGAACCAAGTGGGCCCTTGGTGAAGTTGGTGGTGCCTTGATGACTGTTATACCAAACCAAAGAAACAAACAACAGATTTCCTTGATCCTTACCCCCCATAAACAGCTCGCATGTCCATCACATTTCTCACGTTGGACCAACTGATACCAAGACCACTAAGATAGGACTTTCTCACCACTCTTTTCCAGTGCTCATAGTCTGCAGCAAAATCATCAGGAGCTGGTTTTCCATAGATTCCCATCTGAGATCTGTTTAACCAGTAGGGAGGCGTCTCCAATCTTTGAGGCCACTCCTCAGGCCACTGGGAGCCCCTCTCAGTCCCAGCAACAGGCACCCACTGCATGCACGACTGCAGAGGTACATACCTTAGACATACAGCAGCAGTACCCAGATGAGTGAGTGAGAAGCATTAAGAGACGACAGAGACGGATTCAAATTCTATGCAAGAAGGAACAGAACGAATTCCAATGTGTAGGATTGATGAAACCTACCACGCTGCATTTGGGTCATCTTCATCCTTGCACATGGGAGGACTGTTGTTCTTTCTGTGGTTGTAGCATTCATTAGTGATGGGTTTACGGTATATCGCCGCACCAATAGAATTCAGTTTGTCTTTCTTGACGGTAACAAGATTCCAACACATTGATAGTGTTAGTGCCGACATTGCTGTTATAACAAGAAAGAAAGGTTGGTGATAAGCTGCATGTGCTAATAGAAAAAGCTATTCGATTGTAAGGGTAAGATTGCGAGTGTTTAAAAATAAGTGATTATTCAAATAATCACTTATTTTAGGCTGCAATAAGCGGATTTATCTGCATTTGGAAATAAATATTTATTTTGAAAATAAGTATTTATTTGAAAAAGGCAAATTTTTAAAATACTTGTACTATTAGGAACGGAAATGAGTAGGGTACCTATGCAAAATGCTCTCATTTTGCCAAATCTTTCCCAAACCCGTCTAATCTTTCCTCTCAATTTCTCAAATCTGTCCTGACCCGTCCCACCTGATTTGAAAGGTTAATAAACACTTTCTACTAAAAAACATTTATTAAAATTTAAAGCGTGACTTGAACCCCAATCAACTAATGATGGCGTAGAAACTCTTAACACTACTTTAAGCCACTAATAAAATAAGTTTTATTAACTTTTGTATTCATCCAAACATATAATACATATTGATGATTAAAAATTCCAAATAAAAATTAAAAGCAATAATATTTAAAATTAAAATTTTATAACTAAATGAAATAAATAATCTATCAAATCCAAATTTAAATCAAATGATGATTTTAATCCCAAGAAATTTATACAAATAAAATATTAATAATAGTATATATATATATATATATATTACAATTTTTATATATCTTTTTATAATTATTAGTTAATATTTTAATCTATTAAATAACACTATATTTATCATTTACAAAAAAAATAAAAGCTTTGTTTACAAAACATTTAAGAGTATAATATTACATTGAATTTATCAAATCCACTAATTTATATGTATACGAAAAAATCATTTTTAGTTTCAAAAAATTTATAGAAGTTTAATTTTTAAAAATGAAATAATTATTTTAGTAATTAAAAATTATGAATTTGCATATGATATGTATATGTATATATGATTATTTATGGCTATTTGACCTTAATTTTACTGTTATTAATATATTTATAAAATTTGTATGTATTTCCCTAGTGTATCTAAGATTTTCCATATTTTTTGTTTGTATTCATGTGTTTCCAAAACATATTTGTATCTCTATCAATATTCAAATTGCCTGATACGATGCTCAATATTGATACTTTAGTCCTTGTTTCAATATTAAGTATATAGAAGAATGTTCTTCAAAGTTCATTATCAACCAACAACATTCAACAAGAACCAACATTATATAGAACACTTTCATATAAAAGAGCAAAATAAGATAATATAAGTCAAAAAATAAATAAAACTAAGTGACATAAGAGAATGGGTAAACAAATAAGTTTGTAATTTCAAAGAACCAAAAATCAAAAAAAAAAAAAGCCAAGAGTTACCCGTCAATAACTCTTGGACTCTTGTTCTTAATTGTTAAACCATGAGGGTAAATGGGTAAACCAATAAACATGAAGATAGGGTATTGGATATCCTAAAGTCAAAACCCAAACCCTATAGGGTTTTGATAAACAAGTCCCATTTAGGGTTAAGACGGGTCGGATACCCAAAAATTCCTACAAAATTGCCATCCCTATAAACTATTCTTGTTTAAAATAAATATTTTTTTACCAAATGCTCATAAGCACTTATGAAAATAATCACTTATTTTTAAGCATGGCAGAGCTAAGAATTTTTATTGAAGGGGGCCAAAAGCTAACAATCATGGATCTATGGAGAGTAAAAAAGCCAATAAACTTAAGTAGAGCCAAAATCTAAGTGGGGTTTAAAATTGGTATTATGGGATTTTCACCGCATATGGGGGTCATGGCTCTCCACTCCCCCACCCCACCCACCCMCCCACCCACAAAGCTCCGCCCTTATTCTTAAGCACTAATTTCTCAAATAAGCACTTTCAAATATAGCCTCATTATAAATAAATTAAGATGAGATATAAGATTCTACCCTTCCAGATCTCCGCATCTTCTTTCAGATTCTGGTACACAGGGGTCGCTGACCAAACAAAATAACCGCCAGGGCGTAGAACACGATTTATCTCCAAAAGAAGAGCACCGTCTGCAGGAATTAATGCTCCAAATTTTTAAATGATCAAAAAAGCAAAAGAATAATGGAAAATTTTCCAATTAGGACCCTATACTTTGGGTCTACTATCATTTGATAACTTTAAAATGCCACAATTTACAATTCAGTACTCCAACTTTGAAAACTGCCAATCCAATATCTATCGTTAACCATCCCATTAACCAGCAGTTAAATGGTATTTGAAAAAGACATAAATACCCTTTTAAGTGTCATTTAATTTTTTTTATCAACCATCTATTGAGACAACCCCAACTTTCTTTAATAGAAGATGTAAAAATTTGAAATTGTTCATTTTTTTTGTCAACTTTTGAATGGTTTATAAAGGGAATTAGATGATTCTTGAAAGGCATTTGTATTTTTTCAAATGACACTTAAGGCTCAGTTTGGAATGTGTACAAATACAAATTTGTACGGTGCAAATACATACAAAATAATATAAAATACAAGGTTTTACTCTCTACAAATTTGCATTTGTATTCCTTCGGCTCAGTTTGAAAGGAGTACAATACAAATACGTAGAATGCAAAACCTTATATTTTGTATTATTTTTCATGTATTTGCATTGCACGTATTTGTATTTTTTCTCTTTCTGGTTAATGCCTAAGTACTAAATTAGTACACTTCTTCTAAAGTTCAGATACTGAATTATCGCATTTTAAAGTTGGAAAAACCAATTAAAAAAAGCATTGTGATTGAAGATGTGCATTGAAATGAAAAGGGAGAGAAGCAATTACAAACCGTCTGCATGCCAAGGGACCCTACAACGTGCACAGTGAACAAGATCAAAGACCCTGCTTGGAAATGGCAGCCGCTGAGAACCCATCACGGCAGACATTGCCGGAATTCCCCGTTCAAGAGCAAATTGGACCTGTGCCTCGTGTTCATCTTTCGGTGCAAACGACATGGTTAGAACTTCTCTCTCGAATAGATACCCACCAAAGCTGGCCACTCCACACCCAACGTCCAATATCACTCGACTCCGCTTCCCCCATCCAATCTTTGGTACTGACTGCAGAGCACCAAGCAGCAAAATTAATTGGATCGATCCAACACTCAACAATACTGAACACTATTTACATATAATAGAAGAGCTAGCCAGATCTGAGTACGCAGCTTCACAGTGCGTACCTGCTGGATGAAATCGATGTAGTGTAGTGCACCGTGAATAAACTGGGTCCCACCGCCGGGAAAGGTTAGAAACTCTCCGGTCACCTTCACCCAGTTCTGGTGACCCTTCACCTCCGCCAGCTTCGTGCGCGGAACGTTGTGATACCATATCTACATACACGTACGATGATAAGCACATATGAAGAAAAAGAAAGGAAGGAAGGAGTTCAAATATGACAATCAATTGGCTGTGATCCTTTTGATCTTTTACCTTGTCTCTGCTCTTGGGCCACTCGATGGATCTCTTATATCCATCGGGAAGTGGGACCAGGCACGTGGGAGCTTCGTCTGGACAGTGCCTCTCGCGATGCTCGTAGTGTCTAGTGCTGTGTAGCTTCTTCAGAGCTTTCTCATTGTCCAAACACGGTATATAGTCCGGGCCCGCTGTTACGTTACACAGTTCCCACGTGTATCCGTACAAGTTCCTGTCTATACCGTTCGGTCCTTCCTTTCTTCTCTCCTTCTCGTTCTCCGATTGAACCGCCTGGGTCGACCAACTCTGTTTTGATTCGGTCGACTCCTTTGGGATCTCCGGATGAGCCCCACCGGGGAAGGACTCGCCCCCCGAGTTCAAATCCGTTGCCGCCTTTTCTTCCGTCATAATACCTTGTTGCTGAGTCTCCGATTGGGCTTCACCCAGGAACGACTCGCCCGAGTTCAAGTCCATTTCCTTTTCTTCCGTCAAAATATCTTGTTCTTGTTGCTGAGTCTCCTGGTTGGAACTGTTGTCATTCTCTTCGCTCTGATGACCTTCTTGTTTCTCAGCTTCTGTTCTTTCGCTCTGTTGGGATTCTTCGTTGTCAGTTGTTTCGTCTTGTTGTTCGGATTCCTGCTGCTCCTGTAGTACGGTTTCCTCGTTCATAACCTGTCGAATTTCTGGTTCTGAAATCCCCTCATGAATCTCAGCGTTTTGGAAATCAGATATCTCCTGATGATCTTCCTGTGATATCTGTTGTCGGGAGAGATCCGTGTTTTCCTGGCTTTCCATCTCTGCAGTCTCCTGTTGGGTATCCTGTTGAGTTCTTTCAGTACTTTGGACTTCTGTTGTCTGTTGTTCAGACTGAGCGTAGATTTCTTGAATTTCTTCTGTTTCACTCTCTTCTTTTGCCTGCTGTTCGACATCAGCAGATTCTTCTTTTCTTTGCTGGGTTTCTACCGTGTTCTCTTCTTCGAGAGAAGATTGATCCTTCTCATGTTCTTCATTGTTACTACTTTTAGGATTGCCATCGTCGTTGCTGGCCTCAATATTTTCTAGCTCAGTTTCGTCTTCTGCATTGCCTTCTACAACTGGGTCTGAGCGGTTCTCTGGCAACAATACTGATGATTGCTTGTCTTCCCGAGACTTTGAATCATAATTAGACATCTCAACCATCTGCTTTGGTTCGACGTCAGGGAGGTCACCCTGAGAGTCTTCGAAGGCTGGAGGGTCCTTGTGCTGATAGTGAGTTCGAGAATTGGTGGAAGAAGAAAGGTCGTTGGCAGTGCTTGTGGTTTGTCGCGGAATAAAGGAGGATGTTAGCATCCATAGACCAATAACACAGATAGCGATGAAAATAACCATAGTGACCGTCGACGTATAAGACGACGGCGAGCGCTTACTGGAGCGTGCCTTGCCAAAAGCCATGTTCGACTTACAGAAGGAAAAAAAGAACGAAATAAGAAATTGAGTTATAAAAAGCAAGAAGGATTGTGCTTTGTGTTTTGTAGGTAAGAATAGAGAGCTAGAGAGAGAGAGAGAGAGAGAGAGGAATTCGTCCAACTTACGAATTCAAGACATTCATCCAAACTTACAAATTTACAATCCAAGATCCTAAGTTGGAGGAGATTTGGCGGACAAAAGGGTGGATTGATGAATTAAGTGGACCGAGTCTGGTAGTTGAGGTTGATCACACCCTTGCAAGTAGCATTGTAGCAACGGGTAGCTGTAGCCTGTAGGGCGTTTTCGTGGGCCAGAGCACAGGCCCCCTCTCTTAGGAAGTGCTCCAGTTTGGTCCATTTGCTACAGGCCTGGGGCTTGGCCCAGTGCTAGAGGCCTAATGGGCAGTCCGATTCTAAAACCCGGCTGATCAAAATCTTGTTTAGGAGTTGGGACATGTGACCATGTAGCTGTAGGGATGGCAATCAAATATCAATTATATTTTAAATTTTTTATTTATTTTAAATAATTTTTTTTATAAAATAATATTAACTAAAAAATTTTGAGAGGTTCGGGTCCCTGCAAGGAACCCGTTCTATCATGAATCGAGATGGAGGACAATTTTATCTCGACGGGGATTAGGTTTCGGACGAGAATTTATTCCAAAATCAGGGTTGGAGACGGGGAATATAACCCCTCCACCAAATCGACCCGTCGCCATTCCTATAACTATGTTTTTAGAACTATTGTTGATTACGATGGTTAACATTTGACCCAGAAACCCACCACGCAACTGGTTCTATTTCACCCCTGAAACGTTTTTTTACCGAAAAGCTGTTGTCTTTATTAGCAATTCGTTGACCTGGGTGTAGAGGTGTAAATTGAGTCTGTCACGGCCTACGGGCAGCGCATGTAAAGTGCAGGCCGTCTTATGCTGACCTGTGGGCCGTCCCCGGACATGCCACCCTCCCCTAGGATAAGTTGGGGGTCAGCCCGGCATGGCCCATGGGCTTGGGCCGTGCAGGCCCATGCCGTGCCATGGGCTGGGCTGGTCCGTGGGCTGGGCTAAAGCTATTTATTTAAAAAATTTGAAAAAAGAACTTAAAATTTTAATTTTATATGAATTTTGATGTATACAATTGATTATATATACAATAATTAAATAAATTAATATAATAAAATTGAAAACAATTGTTTATTTTATTAATATATTATATACTATTATATATTTATATATAAATAGTATATATGGGTCGTGTTGGGTTTTTCCGCCCGCGGCACGGCCGCTCAGTCGAGCCGTGCCAGCCCGGCCCACAGACCTAAAACCCCTGGACCAGCACAACCACATGATCATGCCATGCTTGGCACGAACCGCGTGCCGTCGTCTCGGGCCACGAGCGGCATAGCCTTATTTACATCTCTACCTTGGTGGTCAAACTATCAACCCGTTCAACCTGGACAATGGTTTTTGGCCCTTTTAATTTACTTATATATTTTTTTAATTGCAGCAAGTTGTCCATTCAAACTGGACAGTCAAATGACTAACCCGAAAACTGGTGGCCAAAGTGGTTCTCGTTCTGAGTTAACTTTTAAAACATTGCATATAAGTTACATATACACACATACACACACACACACACACACTAAAACACAACACTCTAGAAGTTTTCTCATTTTTTTGACTTTTTTTTATTTTTTTATTCTCTGTCATTTTTTAAACAACCAATGAGATGCTCTCCTTCCCCATAAAATAAATTACCAAAATTCTCTCTCTCTCTCTCTCTACCACACATTCCAATTGCCCAAATAGTATCTTCTCCTAAAATTTCTCCTAAACTACCACCCCCACTTTCTCCTAAATTATCTCTAATTCCTATTTCTCTCCTAAATGATCTCTATTGTAGTACAAAGCTTTTCTCCTAAATTATCTCTAATTCCTATTTATTCCTAAATTATATCTAATTTAGTAGAGAGTTTCTCTCCTAAATTATCTCTAATTCATATTTATCCTCTCCTTCAAATTTTATCTATTTCTATCTAAATTTTGAATTAAAAATTTTAAAAATTATATAAATATTCTAATGAAATTATATAATAACTTTAAAGTATTTATTAAAAACACAGAAAATACTTATAATAAATTTAATAATATTCATATTATTAATAATTTTATATTTTTACAAAATTTATCATGAAATTATGTACTATCAATATAAATTATGGTTTTCTGGATTATTCAATTTAAATGTTATTTAAATAATAAAAATGTAACATTAAAAGATAAAATATTATTTTAATATTTCAATAACTAAATATTTTAAATAAAAAAATAATAAAAATAACTAAATAATCATATAACAAAAAATTTTATATTATGTAATAACTTTAAAATAAAAAGTTTCAAATAAAAAGTTAAATATTTGAACAAGAAAATATTTTAACTAACAAAATATTTAAAATAACTAGATTTAAATAGTTAAAATAACGAAATTAGGTAATAAATTTAAAAAATCTTAAAACAAGAAAAATAATTATAACATAATATTAAAATTAATAATAATTTAATATTTTAAAAATTAATAACGAAATGATGTAATAATAATATAACTTATAATTTTACAAACTATTAAATTCAATAAATAATTAATATTTTAAAATTTAAATAATGATATTATTTAATTAAATAAATAATATTCTAAACAACAAATTTCACTTGTATCAACTATTATTTGATATTACACTATTTATTGATTAATTTAATAGATTTTTAGTATTTATTTTCATTTTGTAATTATTGTATTTTTTATTTTCATTAGGTCTTTATTGTATTTTCCTTACCAATATATTTTCTATAATTATGTATATTTTCAATAATTAATATATATGTTTCTATAAATTCTCAATAATTATTGGAGATTAAGCTATTGTTATTTATTAGAGATTAGACTATTAATTTTATCTGAAATTAGGAGTGTTCGTGAGTTGGTTCGGTTCAGTTGTGAGTTGTTTGGCCAACCAAAGCGACCTCATTGGGTTGGGGAGTTGGTCACTCGAAACCAACTAACCATTAGTGAAAATCAGCCAACTCGGGTTGTACTGGTTTGGGTCAATTTTTGGTTTGGTCGATTAGTTCAAAAGATTTAAACTTAAAAATTAAATTTAAATTAAAAAATTTACAATTGAATTATTAAAAATTAAATTTATGATATAAATTATTTTAGACTAAGAAATAGGGAATCTTTTCCACTTTTTTGTATTAAAAACTTACATTAAAGGTATACAATATATATATATATATATATTTGATTTTGGTCAATTTACAAATGGCCAAAGTGAAACTAATCCAACATAGTCAGGTTTGGAAATTGTTTAACCAAAGCCAATTGAAAATGATAGAAACCAACCAACTCGAGTCGAGTTGGCTGGGTTGGTCAGTTTCATTAAAAAAATTATTAAATGTAGTATATATAATATAAGGGGAAATCTATGACGTAGGAAAAATATTGATTGGAAGAGTTTTAACCAATCACAATCCACCCATGAATTTTGATAAATAACACCTGATTGGCTACTACATTTATGATACCAATTGATTTGTCAAAAAATTTCAGATATCATATCTTTCCCATATCATAGTTGAACCCAAAATATAAATAATTATTAGGGTAAAATATAGAAACCTCCCCTGAACTTTCTAACAATCATAAAAACCTCCCCTATAGTTTCACTTTAGTAAAAACCTCCCCATTATGTTAAAAAATTTTGACAAAAACCTCCCTTCCGTCAATGATCATGACGGAAAACGTGTATAGTTATGAAATTACCCCTAAACGTCATCTAATCACTTTGTAACTGGAGCAACATCTTAAATTTTCTATTATTTTTGACAGAGTAGAAGAACGCAAACCCAACTATTGCAACAGAGCGAGGGGCGAATTCTAAAGTAGAGAGGGGAGATAATTGACTGTTCATCATCTTCCCCCCTTCGAATGAAAATAGAGGAGCGGCGGTGACTCAGCGAAAAAAACCTCTCGATCCCAGTGGCGACGTTTTCCCTCTCTGATCACTTCTTCGGAGCAACAACACATCACTCCATCATTGATTCTAACTATAGCATGACGTTCCTTCTTGGTGAAACCAGAGCCGAACTCGAAGGAAGGTCAACTGTCTATCATCCCCAACCTCTCAAACAGAGCAAGAGAAACAGCAAACGAAACCCCTCCCTTCACTGATTTTTATTTCTTTTTCTTTCTCTCTCTTTCTCCCTCTCTTCTCCATTCTTTATTCATTTTCACATCCCATACACTGCTGTGAGTCCTTCGTTCATCATTCACACCAACTAAGAGTAGAAGAAACGTCAGTCTGTCTTGTTAGCTCCAACATACATTCTGCTCATCAACTCTGAAAAGCTCAAGCTCGGAACTCCATTTTCTTACAATAGATCCCTTCAGACCAATTCTGAATCAAAGAGGTCAGATACTAAAACGAGACTGCAGTTCCCCTGGTGCATTGTGTAAATTCAGGCCAACACCCAGACTAAAGAAGAGAGAGGGCCTACTGTTGATTTGGAAGGCTGCTATTGCTGATATCTCAATGGGGAGTGATACGACTTGGATTGGAAAGAAACCTCTTAGGCGCCTAGGAGGGATGTTTGATGCATTGTCTCTTGCAGCTGATCTTGGTTTTTCGGTTTCTCCTCCTCCTTCCCAAGAAGATATGCAAAGCTTGTCTACCAATACTGGTGACAAGAGTGATGATTTGATAAAGGTCTTGAGAGAGTTAACCACCATACAAAGAAAAATAGCAGATTTGCAAGTGGAGCACCAAAGTCGAAAGGACAACAAGAATATTGCACATCTAACGCATGTGAGTGAAATGGAAAAGAAGTGTGAATCACTGGCAAGGATTATTACTATATTGAAGGATGTTATTCAGAATAAATATTGCATCATTGCTCGACTTCAACAACCATATTCATTAGATTGCAT